GAAAAGGAAGGATCGAGAAGAATGGAAAATTCCCGATTTAAGTCAAATCTGGGCGAAATGGAAAGATCGGATAGCCAAGATGAGGAGTATATAAAGAGGAGGTCTAGGGAAGAAGCAGACACACGAAATCAGACCTAGAAGAGACGGCTGCTAGCTTAGATTTTAGGACTTAGCGTTTAGACTAGCACTTCAGATCCTTGGAACGTTTTCACGTCTAAGTTCTTCAATTCTACTTGTAACAGTTGTCGATTCTTATTCAATAAAAGCTTTCTTACGATTTCTTATCTCTTTATTCTTTGTTGTTCATCCATATTCCTTTAAACTCGTTTGTTTTAGTGATTTCCGCAGAGATCCAGGACCTCGGGAAAATTAGGGTTTTTTCCCTAAGTTTCCATAATTGATGGAAAATCGACGGTGTGGATTTCGGTTCCCACACCAAACCAATAGCATGTCTTGCTATCGGATTCGAAAAGCGGTTACCTCAAAACTGACAAATGCAGTGGCATAATTTTTGTGGATTTCAGGGGGAAATGTAAGAGGTATGCATTTGAAATTCTGGGAAAAACTATGCATCAATAAGCATTAATAAGGATGTAGGAGGTTTAGGGTTCAAATATCTTTCGGATTTCAATACGACTATGTTAAGGAAACAATTTTGACATTTGATTGAGAAGCCTAATACTTTATTTTCTCGATTTTTCAAAGATCGATATTTCAGGAATGCTTCACCCCTTGCACCAATTCGTTCATACTCTCCATCCTACAATTGGCGAAGTATTGTATCTGCTAGATTTTTGGTTAGCAATGACTAATCAAAAGGGTGGGATCAAGATCTTCTATCTTAGTATGGAATGATATTTGGCTCCTAACCATTCGTCCGAGACCATCAAATAGTAATCAACAAAATCTCTACCCAAATCTCACTGTGGATTCTCTTATCGATTCAACATTACGCACATGGGATTCTCAGGTAATTCGGTTATTGGTGGAACCGGAGGATGCAAGGATTATAGAAAGTATACCATTAATTAGGCATCAGATGGTTTATCAAGATGTATGGTATTCCACCAATAATGGAAAATATACGGTAAAATCAGGTTATTAGGGGGGAACAGATATACCCAGACAGAAAAATCGCTGCCAGTGTATTGACCCATGGTCACTCCTTTAAAAGCTTATTTTTGGAAGGTTCACTGTCCACCAAAAAAAAATCCTATATGGTAGTTACTATCGGGTTGCATATCAGTAAAGAAAAACTTTCGGAACAGGGGTATATATACAAGGTGATGTTTAGTGTGTAAGATGTGGAGCTAGTGAGGAATCAATTAATCATGTGCTTTTTAAATGTCCTCTGGCGGTCCAAGTTTGGGCCCTCTCTAAGATCCCATTAAATCTAGACATTTTTTAGGCGATGTTCGCAAACATGGATTATCTATATTGGAGGGTGTCCCCGTATATGGAAGATCACCAATTTCCATGGATTTTATGGTACATTTGGAAGAGACAGAATAATAAGGTTTTCAGTAATATAAATGTTGATGCAAGAGACACTCTGAAAATGACAGAGACTGAATCTTTACTTTGACAGAGTCTCAATCCTTAGTCACACGTGGAACCATCCAATTGCGAAAGACCAAATATTTTAGTTTAGCTTCAATTTTGGATCACTCGTTTTGTACGGATGGATCATGAAAAGCTGAAGAAATGTTTTTGGGACATGGATGGTACGATACACTACAAGGTTTCGATGGACTAATGGGAGCAAGGAATATGAGAGCAACTCTTTCACCATTATACTCAGAGATGGAGGCCCTCATATGGACAATGGAAAGCATGATGAACTTACGTCAATATCACATTACTTTTGCGAAGGATTGTATTCGATTGGTGAAGATGGTTTATGCACCAGAGGAATGGCCAACCTTTTTTAATTATTTGGACGACATCAATATCCTTCAAGGAAGTTTTAATCACTCAAAGATCATTCATATCTCCCAAAAGCTAAATACAAAGGCGGACAGTCTTGCGCGAAGTGCCAGGAAGCAAATGGCATTTGTTGTTCATGGATGCAGATCTACCAATTTGGTTCACAAAGTTCATAAAATCTGTTTTAAATTGATGACAAAAAATATTGGTTACCAAATAAGCTTAAAATTAACAATCTGAATAAAGAATATATTACTATAATATCACATCATAAAAAGAATATTAATCCCTAAACATAAATATGTTTTACATAGACATATATATTTCTTACATTTTAGATATGTGAAATTTAGATCCAATCGTCCTATTTTAAAAAACAGAGAGATAGAATAAAACCGTGATTGGTGAGATTCCATACTAAGAAAAAAAATTATCGGTTGTACATAAAATACCAAGCATATTGTAACTTATAAGCTAATAACTGATCCCAGTATTCATCAGCTCCTCAAAATAAATTCTTGAATTGAAATTCACCATATTATCTCTTCCAAAATAAAATGCAAATCTAAACGTCAAAGGTATAAACATCTCTCTTTAAAAGAGCTCCAAATTTCTCTAAACTTCACTTAATCTTAAATCTTTTTCAGTGGTTGGTGGTGTTCATCAAGCGTCGTTTTTATTTTTGGTTTTGTGTAGTATATTTCGTTCTGATGATCGATTATAAAGATTCTGTGTTGTCGGATTTTTTTTTACTAGGTGATAATATAGTTTTAAAGTTTCATGTTGACTCTTGATCAGATATTTTGTTTCTACGAATGAACTTAACCTCGGTTAAAAGGAGATGACAAAAAAAAAGGGTGTGTTAAAAAAAAAAAAAAAACAAAAGGGTATGGACTACTCTGTTTCAATGGGCTAGCTTCACTATCAGTTAAAAGTTAGGCCCATTTTCAAACATGGTAGTATCTCGTCATATCCAGACGCCGCCGTAGACTTTGTAGTTGTTGGTAGAAAGTCAAAGACCGCTTCCTTTAACTCTATGCTCTGTCTCCCTTTGCTTTTCCAATTCAGAGAACACAGAGAATAGCAGAAGAAGAAGAAGATGGAGTCATCGATGTCGCAGAAGTTCACTCTTGTTTATGCTTCTCTCCTCGGAGGTATTACTTGATCGGTCCCTTCGTTGGTTCTCAAATCATTACCTGTAACATGATCCAGTAATTTTCGAAACCCAGCCTACAATTAGGTTTTGAGTTGTGATTTCTTGTTTGATGCCACCACTTCTCCAAATACGTGCCAAACAATGGATGTATAACTATCTGGTTGAAGCATATGTGTGTGTGTGTGATGTTATATTCGTCCACTTGAACCATATGTGCTTAGCCAAGGCCTCATTATTTTGAAATTAGTTATATTGTCCTGATCTGCCCAAATTTGAGAAATTTTTGATTGTATCCTGAAGGTGCTATGGATCCTTTTAAATAGCGTTCTTATTTTTGCTGTGACTGCTTATCTGTGTGCTTACAAGTCTGATAATAGTTCATAATGTTTTGTTGTTGTTACGTTCATTGTTTGAAATTGGTTGTATTTTCTTGATATCCAAATTCCGAATGTTAGCTATCATCTGGTGGTGACTGTTCGACCTGTTTTGGTAATGGTGTATATATACATTGTGAGTGTGATAGATCCTTGATGCGATTCTTTCTTTCCCAATCCATCTTCTCGTGTATTATATAATGATGATTTTTGACTCATAGCAATTGTTGTGGCAGTTGGTGGGATGATGGGTTACCTGAAACGCGGAAGCAAAATATCACTAGTCGCAGGAGGAGGATCAGCTGCATTGTTCTATTATGTATACAGGGAGCTTCCAGAAAATCCTGGATTGGCATCCTCCATCGGTATAGGTAAGTGAAAATGGATCCTCTAGACATTATTTGCAAAGTGATTTTACAAATGTAATCTCTACAATCATTTTCACAAAAAAAATTGTGACATAACATACTAAAATTGTTATCCGGACTAAAAATCGAATACCCGCGGATATCTGGATCCCTGGATTCTTTTTTTTTTAAATTAAAAATAATCAAAGTTATATTAAATTAAAAAAATTAAGCATTTATTTACTTAATTAAAAATACTTTTTTTGCAAAAAGGTTTAAAAACTAATAAAATTTAATAAAACTATGTTTAGTTATTTTAATAAAAAATATATAATATATCTATATAAATATAATTATATTTTAAATATTTTATAAATATTTAATGGGTCGGAATCCCGATATCCGGACCGGATCCAGATTCGGATTGCCGGATTTGTAACATCACTATCTGGTTCAGACCCCCTGGATATCCGTTTCTCGGAGCGGATCAGAGCGGATCCGGATCAGATAGCATATATAAGTTCCAACCCAATAATTTATGGTTGAATATAACATCGACAATTACATTTAATGTTGATTTTGTTTTTGATAAATTTTTTATAATATGATATTAAATCATACATCATTATTGAAATAAATCTATTTAAATATGACATTAAATAATATAATAAAAATATAAAATATTTTACAAATTTGAAATATAATCTAAGTCTGTTTTTACAATCATATAATTTTTATTACAAAAAAAATTCAAAAGTTTATAAATTTTTTATTTTTTTTAATAAATTATAGATTATAATACCATTTGTTTGCTTTTGATATCTACAAATTACATAAATTATATTTAGTTTTATCTTTTGATCCGTATATAATTTTAAATCATTTTTAATAAAATTATACAAGTTGATTGGATATATCTTTACCAAAGAAATTAATGAAATTCTATCTAAGAGTATAATTTCAAGTATATACATATCTATTCTGAAATATAATTTTAAACAACTTTAGTTTATCTTAATTTTATGTTTTGTAAATAAAAATTTATATCAAAATATTGGTATAAAAATAATAAAATCTAAAATATTAACTGAATTTTATTTTTAAATGTAACTAGGTGTTTTGCCCGCACATGCGGGCTTAATTTTCTTACGAATATTTATTGTTTTTATTTTATTAATTCTAAAATAATATTGTAAGTTATTTTCTATAGTTTTAAAAAACCTAAATCAAACATTAAAATATTTTTATATGAATATATATTTAGATTATGGATAATTATTATCATTATTATTATTTTAAATCATTTATCTAATCAAATAAGTTTAATTATCTTTAAATCAATTTAAAAAAACATCAAAATAAATGATTATTTGCATCCAAAAAATTCGACCTAAAACATTAAACTTTTTTACATGATAAAGTTATTTACAAACTAATTTTTCATTTGAAACTTTGAAAAATTTAAAGTCTATTTCATTTCTTCTTAATTGATAAACAAATTTGAAAATTGGATCGATAAATTTACATTCAAAAATTGATCTTACAGAAAGAAAACATCAGTTTAGATAATAATACAATATATTTGAATTTATTTTTGTCAAACACGTATTTTCTTAAGGTTTAACTATATAAAATATAAATATAAATTTATTTTAACGTGTGAGTTCAGAGGCAGAAAATAACTTTACAGATATATATCATTATATTATATCATTATATTATTTTAATTTGAAAATAGTTACGTATTATAAATTTTCAATTTTATTTTTTGAATTATATACAATTAAAAGTTTACTTTATGAATATTTATTTATGTGTTTTCAATTTTTGAATTTTTTTAATTAAAATATATTTTTCGGATAACAACACAATATCTATATAGGAATTATCTTTTTATTTTTAAATATATATTTAGATTATGGATAATTCTTATCATTATTATTAATTTAAATCATTTATCTAATCAGAAGGGTATAAACATTTAAATATATATTTAGATTATGGATAATTCTTATCATTATTATTAATTTAAATAATTTAAAAAAGTATTAAATTCATTTTTATATTTGGGTGATTTATATATTTTATTCATTAAGGGTATAAACGATATTAACACTCTAACTTTTAACGCGAGAGTTCCATTGCGAAAAATCACTTCGCAATTAATAGTATAGATACAAAAAAAATAATTTAAGTTTAGAAAATTTATTGCTGCATATGATCCAGGAAAATATATAGTTTTCATTCATAGTTCAACTTTTCATTCATAGTCTATCTTATCACGAGTCCAAAGTCCTCCTTAGTTTTACTATATGCGAGTATATTTCAATGTACAAAAATGCGTCTCTCGGATGGTGACATCACATCTCTGATACTTGAACTAACATCTTATATAATGGGAAAAAAATACCTGAACTTAACTCGAAGTTTGTGTAGCCAGGCAGAAGTAGCAAAATTAATTCAAATAATATTGAATTACATATTTTAAAATATGTTGAAGATATATTTTAAAATAAGTTAGTTATCTTCAAACTTTTTTAGTTAAAACTGAACCCAAAAACCAAGATAATTGCCTATAGTCCAATGACGGACCAAATTAAACTCGAAACTCAATTGCATTTTTTTGTCAACACTGGAAAATCGAAGGTCTTTCTTTATCAAATACTGGAAAATCAAATGCCTATATACGCGTATCACATAATATTTAGTTGTAGAGTTTTAATTAAGTGATACGCGCTTTGGTTGTAATGATGCAGTGGGGTCGGCTGCATTGACTGGGATGATGGGATCACGCTATCTAAGGACGAGGAAAGTGGTCCCGGCAGGAGTTGTATCAATGGTGTCACTTGTGATGACTGGGGCTTACTTGCACGGCCTTATTCGCTCCATGTAAAGCCTCTCTGCTGCGTTCGGTTTGACCTATTCCAAATAGGGGTTGGGAGAGCATTTCAATTCTGAAGATTGTTGAACTATGTGCTTGTGATGATGTTTATCTACTCTCTTTCTTTATCCATATATAGACCCTCGGAAGGAATATAACTATGAGATTTTAATAATTGAACAGCCTGTCGAAACTCACACACTTAAAATTAGAAATGAAAATAACGTTATTATTTCGGGACTTATGGGTACATTACTGAAGAATGTTACAGGATTTGAGCTTACATGCTCTCCAAATATCAAGAAGAACTATTACGGCATAATGATTTTTCTCCAAATGTTCACAATTACACATGCTTCAAAATTTTTACCTGAGTTGCCAATGTTTTCTATGTCTAATCCAGCAACCTAGAGAATTACTATAAATCGCTATATATAAACATGTACCTTGCTACCTTGGTGGTTGGATCTTAGCTTGACAATTCGTTCATCAGTCTATCCCAATCTTGTTGTCACCCATTCTTATTTGTCTAGATTGATCTACTTCACCGCATCCTGTTATTCCTATAGTCACTCAACAATCCCCACATAACCAATTAACAAGAAGAGACGACTCAATCACTAACACATCCATCTGATGAGTTGTTTTAATCCACAGTCACACTCTGATCAGTGTACTGCATATAACCCTCCAGTCCAGTCAGCGCACTAGACGCTCCTCAGTCAGTTGCTGATCGCCTCATGATCAGCCAGAGTTACCACCCGGCGCAACGACCCTTAGACTTGTATATTACACCAGTAGAGAGCCCCTACTTGATACACAACTAGCATATAACAGCCGCGATCCCATCACCTAGCACATCATCACCCACATAATCAATCGAATATCCCAACTCGGCTTTGACTCAATCACAATCGGCTCAGACAAAACCTTCTGCGGTTAGTCCATCACGATCCAACCACTACTTATTCAGTCTTCCATGTGATTCCACGCTTAATACCCATCACGCCGAGACACGACTCGGTTGGCCACAGACCCCACCATAGGACAATTATCCTTGAACCCGCTCGTTTCTCCATGGTTCCAACCATTGATCAGTCAGTTCCTCTTTACGATCCATTTCACCTCTTACGGACCCAGCAAATCGAGATAGACATCACTGCTACACCCATCGCTTGGCTTGTTGGATGTCACCATAACTTGTGAATGAACCATCTCCAGCTACAACTGCCAAGTCTTCCATCGGTCTATCACGATCCGTTCCTTAGTATCAGATCGCGTCTCAGCATTTTACATACTGCACCAAAGTCATGGAAAATTTGTCTTTAAATATTGTTCAAACAAGCCTCTATCAATCTATATTCCATTTTTTTGTCAAACCACATCTTACTTAACATGAAAGAGTTTTACATTACATTAGGAATCTGAAAACGTTCAAGACCTGAATGAGCTAAACCATCAGCCTGACGATTTTCCAAACGAGTAATTAAACAAAAGGATAACGAACAGAAGAGAGTAGCAAGGTTCCTTATGTCATGAAGGACACCTGCAATCTCATTCACGTCCAACTCTGATCGCAGAGCAGAAACAAGGACTTGAGAGTCCGAGAATAGTTGTAAGCTTTGAATGTTGAGCTCTTTAGCATTGGATAGGGCTTCACGGACGGCCAGTGCTTCCGCCATTAAAGCCGAGGAGACAAAAGATCGATTTGCTGAGCCACGGCTGATTACTTCCCCTTGCATATTCTTGATGATCCATCCCATGACACCATTTTTTGTGATTTCCTGCCACGCACCGTCTGTGTAGCATGTAGAAACATTAGAAAGAAGATTACCTGCAGTTACCAGGGGCGCCTGAGGCTAAATCACAACACAATTAGCAGCCTCCCATTCAAACACTAGTTTGTTCCGAGCGGTCTAGAGATTCCAAAGTAGCTAGGGTATCAAGGGTGATGAACTTAATCCTAGCGGTGGGAGAGATTTTGAGTTCACTACCCTTGACAACCATTCCCTCAAAGAGTCGATAGGTTGGACGCCAATCACAAGAGTTGAGACTGGAGCACTAGACCAGAAGTTCACTCAAAAGGGAAATCTTAAAAAAGGTGTGAAAGAAATTCCGCTTCTCCACATCTTTTACAGAGAAGGTCTGAATAGATTCCTCTGATGACTAGGAGCGTGGCCACAGGTAAAGCATTGTGCAAAAATCTCCAAAGAAAATGGTGAATTTTTGGTGGTAGATAAAACTTCCACACTCTTCATCCAATCAAAAGGACCAGGTACTATAGCGTTCTTCTCAGCAAAAATAGTCTTATAACCTGATTTTGAAGAGTACTTTCCTGAAGAGCCAGGTAACCAAACATGTATATCCTTGGTTTTGAGGAGCCTGGAATGAGTAGTCTGATTTCTTCCTCATGGTGAGGTAAATTGAGACGGATTTTTTTCACATCCCACTCATTAGTATGTGGATCTAAAAGATCCTTTACCATCAGATTTTGGTTGGAGCTAGTTGGGGGTCCCAACGGCACTACTGGACTCTTCGTGGAGAGCCATGGATTTGCTCAAACTCTGATCTCTTGGCCATTCCCTACAATGTAACCAGGACCTTTCTCCATTACTGTTTTCCTTCCATAATGCTTGTCCAACCATGGGAGGAACATGATATTTTTCCGCTTTCCATTATAGAGCTATCAGGGAAGTACTTTCCTTTTAGAACTTGGGCAAGGAGAGAATCAGGATTGGAGAAAATCCTCCAGCCCAGCTTTCCCAACAGGGAACCGTTGTAATCTTCAATGTTCTTAAAACCCAAACCTCCCAAGTATTTTGGCTGAGCATAATTTCCTAAGCGACCCAAGCTATCTTTCTTTGGTCGGTTGCACTGTCGCACAAAAAGCGTGTAAGGATAGATTGGATTCGCTTACAAAGTGATGACGGGATCTTGAAGCTTGACATGAAGTAGGTGGGTAGATAAGTTAACACCTACTGCAGCATGACATGCTTCCCTGCTCCTGAAAGAAACCGGGTTGTCCAGGACTGAGAACGTTGTCGGATCTTGTCCACCATTCATGTGAACATATCTCGTTTCCGTCTACCAAAAGTCTCGGGGAGCCCCAAATAATTTTCCATACCTCCTTCTAGATAGATGCCTAGAGAGCGTTTCACCCTATATTTGATTTCCTCTGGGGTTTTTGACGAGAAACTTACCGTTGATTTGTTCAGATTAATGCACTGTCCTGAACTGATTTCATATCGATGAAGGATGTCACATAGCGCTTCACAGTTTCTAGAGTTTGTTTTGCAGAAGAACAGCGTGTCATCTGCGAATAGAAGGTGATTCACAAACAGACTTTTATAGGAGACCTGCAGACCTTTGAGCCTTCCAGAAACTTGAGCATTCTTACACAGCCCTGAAAAAACCTCAGTGCCGAGGAGAAAGAGATAAGGGGAGAGCAAATCTCCTTGGCGTAGACCTCGAGATGGGACTACCTTTCCTTGGGGAGCACCATTTATGAGGAATGAGTAAGTTACTGTGGTAACACATTCCATGATCCAGGTGATCCAGATGAATGAAACCCATTCTCGTCATCACCTCTTGCAGAAATCCCCATTCTATATGATCGTATGCCTTGCTCATGTCTGTCTTGATGACCATTGAGCATCGTTTGGTAGCTCCTGAAGTCTTGAGATAAATGCAGAGTCTCATGTGTGATCAACACATTTTCTCCTATAGCTCTCCCTGGTACAAACGCTGTTTGGTGATGAGAGATCAGATCGGGCAAAAGCTTTTGGAGCCGGCCAGTGAGAATTTTTGCAGTAATTTTGTATCGGACGTTGCACAACGCGATAGAACGGTAGGCAGCTGCGGATTTCCGATCTGTGTTTTTCGGAATCAGACAGACATGAGTCTCATTCAGGAGGGGGTTCATAGCACCTGACCTGAAGAACATTCAAATTTCTCGGTAAATATTTGAATTTAGGAAATTCCAGAATGACTAGTAGAACCCTGCAGAGAACCCATCTACCTCTGGAGCTTTATCATCATGGATGTCAAAGATTGATGTTCTCACTTATTCTTGGTCAGGGATCCTGCAAATCCACTCATTGATCTCCAAGGTGATGCATCTAGAGATTGTTTCCTCTACTTTCATGTAGTCATCATTTCCATTAGCGGCGAAGAGCTTCTGATAGAACTCAGTAAACACCGTTCCCACCTTTGATTCTTCATAAACTGGGAGCCCTTCTTCATTCTCAATTGTGGAGGTACGATTAATCACTTTCCTACCCTTAGAGCATCATTAACCCAAACCTTATTTGAACTTCTTAATAATTTTTTTAATAATAAATGTAAATTAAAAACTTACTTAAGAAACACCAAAATTTTTATCCTCCAATGCTAGTCTCTCAAATGAGGGTTCTTACAAAAAAAACCCAAAACTCCATTTGCCTTGTTCATCCCATAATTTCTTGTTTTGTTAAATAATGAAAGATGAGGAGAGAACACATACTTTAAGAACTGGATACGTCTTTGGTTGCCAGCTTCATCATAGTTTTTGAAAGCCTCAAACTTTCTCTCACATTGCTTCATCCAGTGCCTGATACAATCCACAAACAGTTCTCAATAACAGCCAAAAGAAGAGGAATTCTCTAAGAGGATACATGAAGTGTGTCTCTAGATGAGCTTTACCTTTAGAGGGTTGGAAGAACTATCGATACTAATGATGAGTTTCTGTAGGGCTTCATCCTTTAAAGCTTCTCGGATTTCTCTAGAAGAAGCTGCAAGCAAGTTTGTTAATGGCCTAATTGTTATGCGACTAACTACTTGAAGCAAGATATCAAATCCTTACCAATAGCCTCGAGAATTCTCTACAACATACTTTGCTTCATCTACAATTATCGGTCTAGCCACTGAAACTTCCTTTGGTGCAGACGCACCTAGATAAAACAGATCCTTATATAGTTAGAACACACGTCAACATGATGTACCCCAAAGTGAATCAAGATTCTTCAGATAAAATAGATTTCTTCTCATGGGTTTAAAACCAACAAGCTACACTCATGGAATTCTCAATTACCCAAAGCAGGAGACTTTAACATCAATCAAGCAAGAAGCTAACTTAAAGAGAAACGAACTTGCCTTTGTGCTTCTTGAAACAATTCACGGAGGAGCTTCAGCATGACACATAAACGAAGAATGATCAATCGAATCCTCAATTACGAAGTCCGAGACTTTAACATCAAGACAAA